TCGCGACTGGCCCTGGCGGCCCGCCACGCCCCAGCACCCCCATCCTTGCCTGCGTGAGTCCTGGGCCCTGCCTGAGCCCATCTCCCTGGCAGGTGGTCCCCTGACCTCAGGGGTGCGCTCTTCCCTCCCCACAACTGCTTGCTCCTTGCTGCTTCCCACACGGTCCTGGGCCTGGGCCCCTCTGCCAGCCCTCTGGCATCCCGACCCCACACTCAGGCAGGGCCGGGACTCTAGGCTCACCCGGCACTCGTGGGACCCTCTGCACTGGGGCTCTGGATGCTTCTTCCCATCTTCTCAAACTGACTCGGGAGCAAGTGTGAAGTGTGTGCCATCCGGCACCTGCCACGCGGGGTGGGCAGTCCACTAGCCTTCCCGGATGAGGAGACTGAGGCCAGAGGTCGCAAGGCCCCTGCATAACACACACAGCTGCCGTGTGGCCAGGCCCAGGACCCTGGCAGCTGGGCCCTCCTGGGCTCAGACTATCCCTGCCAGGAGCCTTTGGGTGCTGTGCCCCGGGTGCTCTAGGGAGACAAACAGGAGTGTGGCTCGGCTGCCAGCCGGGCAGACTTCCTGGGCTCCGCGGGCTGGGCTCCTCTGCTCACAGCTGTGTGGCCTGAGGCCAGTGACCTAACCTCCTGGGCCCATCCAGCGGGACAGTAACAGCGCTCCCCTGGGCTATGGTGAAGCTGCAGTGAGCTGGTGTCCTGACCTGGCAGGAGGAAGCTTCAGGGCACCTGCCCTGCTGCGTCCTGGGGGGAAAAGTGGGGCCCTCACTGCCAGCAAGGGTAGCCCTGAGATCACCTGTCAAGCGCTCTGGCCCCTTGCCCGCCCCTCACATTCCTGCTCCACAGTCTCTGGGCCTGGCCCCTTCTCAGACGCTTGAGGCAGTGACTCCCACCCTGCCCCCCGCCACATTCCTGCACTCAGTGTCCCCTGAACTGACTTCCAGGCCACCCTGGGTCCACAGCTCCCCTCAGATTTTCCCTTCAGCCCTGTACCTACCCCTGCCCCCAGTCCCAGGGCCTCCACTCAGTGGGCCTGGCCCACATCCTGGAGGGCAGGGAGGGAGATTCACATGTCCCAGGGGTGGTATGGGCTGCAGCCTGGGCCTGGACAGGTTGTCTCTCTGAGAACTGCCACAGCCACTGAGGCACCTGAGTGAGAGACCCCCAGTGCTGTGGGGAGGGGTCTGGCAGAGGAGGCAAGATAGGCTCCTGATTCCACACTTCCGCGTGGGGTTTCCACAGGAAAATTTTCCCTGGGATCAGAAAGGATCCAAAGCCTGATTCTCCCTCCTGAGAACCTGCACAGCACTGCCACCTCTAATGCCCACCAAGCCCTGGAGATGGGCTGGGGAACCCCACTGGACAAGGCAGACAGAGACCCAGAGCACAGCCCCTCTCCCTGATCACCCCACAACTGCCCAGCCCCTGGGGACCTGCTAGTGCCAGGTTCTCAACCTTTCTGAATGGAAAACCCCTTAAATCTAGGTCTCCACAAGAGTGACTCCGGTACCCTGACATCAGCATCAGACTCTGGGACACTTGCTAGAAATACCGAACCCTGGGCCCAGGGAACACCAGAGTGTGGACCGGAATCTAAGTAGTTTTTGAAATGCTTCCCTAGTGACTGTGTGACTGAGTGAGGTGTGTGAGCCACTATCTCAGAAAACCCAATAAACACTCTGGAAAGGGCAACAGCCTCCAGAGAGCTCCAGGGTTATGCTAGGTGGGTGCAAATCCTGCCTCTGGCCACCTCCAGGCTACACTGCCATGGGCAGACGATTTTGCCTCTCTGTGCCTAAGTTTTCTCATCTGCGAAGTAGGATGTTGCTGGCAGCGGTCTCACAGAGCCACTGTTGGAATGAAACACATCAAGCAGTCAGGCGTGGTGTCACACACCTGTAATCCCAGAATTTGGGAGGCTGAGGCAGGAGGATCATAAGTTTGAGCCCAGACTGGGCAATTTAGTGACTTAGTGAGATTCTGTCTCAAAATAGAAAATGAAAAGGATTGGGGTGTGCTTGGATCGGCACCAGATATCCTGAAAAGGACTGGGGATGTAACTCAGCATGAAGGCCCTGCGTTTAGCCCCTATACACTGCCCCCCTCAAAAAAGGACAGAATAAGAAAATAAACAGGTAATCCCCAGTACAAAAAGAAAGAAAAGAAAAGAAACGGGTGGAGCTCTCAGCACAAGCGGCTGGCAACAGGAAGCACTTAGAGCCCAGTACCTGCTCTGTGCCAGGCCTGGGGTTCAGCACCTTCTCTGTAAGCCTCACGAGGGAAACACTGAATGCCCTTCTGCAGCAACGGAGGGGAGCTAGGGAGGGCAGCAGTCCTGGCCCAAGGAACGGAGAGGCAGGCAAGAGACCGCCCCAGCCCTACGCCTCCTTCACCGCAGGCTTCACAGAGCCCCTGGGAAAGTCCCGGTCCCTGGGCTCACAGCTCTCATCAAATGCATCCACTTCAAGATGACAGCGAAGACATTCTGGGACCCAGGTTTACCCGGAGAGCCCTGGGGGCTAACCTTGTACCCTCATTTTATTTCCTTCCCCGGGGGCCCTGAGAAGGGAGAAAGCTGGGGGCCAGGGAGCTAAAGCCAGGCCCTGACGTCTCAGCTCTGTCTCACTCCCAGCCTGCTCCTGCAACCAGCACGCCCGCCGCTGCCGCTTCAACTCTGAGCTGTTCAGGCTGTCAGGGGGCCGAAGCGGGGGTGTGTGCGAGCGGTGCCGCCACCACACTGCAGGACGGCACTGCCACTACTGCCAGCCTGGGTTCTGGAGGGACCCCAGCCAGCCCATCACCAGCCGCAAGGCTTGCAGGGGTGAGTGCGGTCTGAAGCTGGGTGAGGGGGAAAGGATGGAGGGGTGGAAAGCCCGGGTCTGAGGGAGGAGGCAGAGCCTGGACTCCAGTGTCCTGGGGAGGACAGGGATGCAAGTTTACTAGGAAGCATTTGGGTCCCTGATACTCCACACCCCCACTCCTCTCCCTGCATAGCCTGCCAGTGCCACCCTATTGGGGCAACAGGAGCTACCTGCAACCAGACCAGTGGGCAGTGCTCCTGCAAGTTAGGGGTCACAGGCCTGACGTGCAATCGCTGTGGGCTGGGCTACCAGCAGAGCCGCTCCCCCAGGATGCCCTGCCAGCGTGAGTTCCGAGGGGCAGGACCACAAGTCCTGAGTAAGCAGGCAGGAGACCACCCAGATCTCAGTAGACAAGTGAGGTGGGGCCTGGCAGATGGGAGTCAGAGGGTGGAGGCAGGACTCGGTCCTCAGAGAAGCCAAGGACTGAAGTTTCTGCCTCCTCAGTCTTGGGAGGAAGGGGGTGGAGGGGGAATAAATAGGGTCAGACTCCTGGGTCCTGGAAGGGGAGGGCAAATGACACTCGCACCCTTGAGAGTCTGGATATCTGGATTCCCAGCAGAGGATGACTAAGGTAAAATCAAACCTCCTTTGGACTCAGGAATTCCAGAGGCCACTACCCCACTTGCCACTACCCATGGTGCTTCCAGCTCTGGTAAGACAGGCAGTGAGACCCCAGGCACCAAGGGGGGTCGGGATGGGCTGTCCGGGCTCTGAGGTTGTTCTGTCCTGGGGGGACAACCCAGCTGTCCTCACACTGCAGTGGGGGCTGGGTGGGCAGAATGCTGTGGTCCAGGCCCCAGGAGCCCATTGCAGATAGCCCAACCCTCCTCAGACCCTCAGTGTCAAAACTACTGCAACATCTCGGACACCAGGGTCCACATGAGCCTTCGGAGATACTGCCAGCAGGACTACGGTGAGTACGGGGGAGAAAAGGCCGAGGCGGCTCCAATGACTTGGTGATACCTTCGGGCCCAGATTTCAATGTTTTCATCTTACATGGAAGGGTGTTGGACTCTAAAGGGATCCAGGGTCTGACAGGCCAAGAGCTATGTGGGGCGGGACAGTGGAGAGGGGGTGTTCACACCTTGTGGCGCCTCTTCTTCCTCCATGTTGTTGGGCTTCAGAGCTTTTCCCTGTCCTTCAGCCTGCACTCCTGAGGGTGGAAGGACGAGAGAGAACTGGTTGCAGGAAGAGTCCTTGTCCATCACCAGCCCTTTCTACACCCCTCTGGGTACCAGTATCCCACGCTAGACCCTCAGGTCCCTAATCCATAGTCCACATGGACCTAACTCAGCCTCATGCTCAGGAACTCAGCACAGCCCACGAGTCCAGACCAGCCCTGGCCACTTCCCTCACTGTACAGGACCTCAGTCTCCTCACTGCTCAGGGTCCTCATCCCATCACTAGGCTTCCGGCCTTCGAAGGTGGAACCTCTTCTCCCCACTGCCCGCAGGGATCCTCTATCACAGAAACAGCCTGCTGGCCAGGCCCAACCCACAAGGCTGTGTGAGCTACCTCCTCAGAAAGCACTTTTCCAAATTGCTAGTGACCTCAACCTTCAGTTCCAGGGACAGCCTCATCCTTCCAGCCTCCCACACTCATCCCGGAGCCCTTCTCCTGGCAATACCCCCCTCTCCCGGGGCTCACTCCTGAAAGTTTCTGACCCTGCTATATTAAAGATCCTGGAGTTGTCTTTTCTGCTTTGTCCCCAGGCCCACCTACTGTGGGGTCCCCATGTGCCACCCCTCCATCTTGTTTTTTTCTTGTTCTGGTACTGGGGATCAAACTCAGGACCTTGTGCTCTCAAGGCAGGCACGGTGCCACTGAGCTAAATACCCGGCCACCCCTCCATCTTTAACACAATTCTGATCTCTGCTGCTCCTAATGTAGCTCCCAAAGCCCCACCCAACATATTCCAGGCTCCTGGGCTCCTCTCAGGCTGGCCTCCCCTCCTCTGTTGGAGACCCATAAACTCCTTTTCCAGCCTCAATCCTGGAGCTGCACCTTACAAACCATACACCCTGCCCTCTTCATCCCCGGGCCCTGGGCTGCAAAGCCTCCTCTAGCAGCCCTCGAGACCCACACCAGACTTGGAGAGGTTCAAAGTCTACCCACTCCTCCCGGCCCAGACCGACCCCAGGGATGGGGGTGACCCCAGGCCCCACCCCGCCTGACCCCGCCTTCCCCGCAGTTCTGCGTGCACAGGTGCTGGTGTCCGAGGCTGCAGGCCCCGCATGGCACCGGCTGGTCGTGCGCGTGCTGGCT